CTGCCTCTCATCAAACAAAGCACATTTTCAGCTATTTCTATCGTTCTTTCTTATCTATTTCTGGTCTTCTTTGTCTACCATGCTTGACGGATGGCTCACGAAGGACTGTCTCGCGTGTGAATTGATGCTTACTTGGGAAAGTGGTGAATTAGACACAGTGTCTAATTTGACACCCCAGTAAAATATGATATCTGTGAGAGAACTTCGTCAAAGACATCCTTGTAGGATATAGCTGCAGGAGTCAAGCGGGATCTGGAAGAACTGTATTGGTGATGGAAACTGTCCTTTGTAGAGAGGTGTCCTCTAGCGGGAGTGTCCTCTCATGGAGGTTGTTCTACTGTATTGGTGATGGAAACTGTCCTTTATAGGAGGTGTCCTCTAGCGGGAGTGTCCTCTCATGGAGGTTGTTCTACTGTATTGGTGATGGAAACTGTCCTTTATAGGAGGTGTCCTCTAGCGGGAGTGTCCTCTCATGGAGGTTGTTCTACTGTATTGGTGATGGAAACTGTCCTTTGTAGAGAGGTGTCCTCTAGCGGGAGTGTCCTCTCATGGAGGTTGTTCTACTGTATTGGTGATGGAAACTGTCCTTTATAGAGAGGTGTCCTCTAGCGGGAGTGTCCTCTCATGGAGGTTGTTCTACTGTATTGGTGATGGAAACTGTCCTTTGTAGAGAGGTGTCCTCTAGCGGGAGTGTCCTCTCATGGAGGTTGTTCTACTGTATTGGTGATGGAAACTGTCCTTTATAGAGAGGTGTCCTCTAGCTGGAGTGTCCTCTCATGGAGGTTCTACACTACAACGAGAGACAAGAAACAGGGTTTAGAGAGTTTCCCAACACGTTCTCCCCCCGCTATCGTGAATATCGCTCCCTCCTACAGGTCGATGTATCCCCGGAAGCTTCCCATTTCCGGCTTCGGTGGCGTAGAAGTTGGGCTTATTCGATGTCGTAGTTCCCATCTATTGGTTCATTCTCTCTTCAATGAGACGATGGTGTTGACACTTAAGCTTCTTCCCTTAAGAAATCTACCTGTTTTGGCAATCGTTGATTGTGTATAGCGAAACCAAGGATTATGGCCATGGTCAAATCCTACCACTCCGTTTGTCTCTAATGCGCTATTCGTCACCCATTGAAGTCGTCAATAAAATATATCGACAGAAGAATTGCCTGTACCCATCCGACACCTTGTTTGATGGTTACCTTCCCTCCTCCATATCAGAAATAAGAGAACTGGCAGCAAAAATACTATTGTAGAATGGAATACAAGCTATCCGAGAGGCCAAGATTCTAGAGTGAAGTTAGGGAAAGATGGGTAGTCTTCCGCTACCATGAGAGGCCAAGATTCTAGAGTGAAGTTAGGGAAAGATGGGTAGTCTTCCGCTACCATGTGTTAGAGATATAGGGGCCAAAAACGGCATTCCAGTGTGGCACAGTCTAGCGGCAAGTAGAATACGTGGCGAGTTGCCTACTGGAAGTGTGGATGATCCTACAAGACGGTGCCAGGAGAGACTGACATCGGAGCGGTCTACAAGACGGTGTAGTCCAGGCTGTACAGTGTGGAGCGGAACACAAGAGTGACATCCACGGCGCCAAGGATCCTTATAACGGGGAAGTTGAAGACAAGTCCCACTATTGTATTCCTTCTGTTTAGTGCCACATATAATAAAGCGATAACTTTTCTGCATCCCTACGAACTCACGTGTGTTATCTTTGTAGCATCCTGATTAAGTAAAGAATACGAACAACGTCAGGGTACGACGTAACAAAACCAGACGCAATCTATTGACTGTCGCCGCAAACTAGCAGCCTCAGGTCGGTAACTAAACCACAACACCAGCTTTGGAAAACTGAGAAGCGTCCACCTAGAGACCATGGTTTCGGGCTAATGGCCCTCGTCAGCCTAGGACGGACTTTATCACCATGAGGTATCCATGCAGGATCTAATGGAATCTTTACAATCTGCCAAATAGTTGTTTAGCTGGCAAAGTGGCTGGGCCAAATCTATGGCCAAATTATAGATGGAAAATTTGCCGTCTTCCTACAGGCAATTTTATTTTAATATTTTTAATTATTTGCTTGGGTTGTCCAAGGTTTGTAAAACGGGCTTTTATTGTCACCAGGGATTGTCCACAACCAGCAGCAAGAAGGAAACTATTATCAGAAATATCACTTTTCCTACGCGTTTGTTCTCTCATTGACGTCTAAATTAATTTGTTTTTCCTCTTTTTTTTTTGTCTCGTTTCCTCTAAGCCACATCAGCCTACGTCGATAAGATCTCGTGGGTTGGCCGAGCTGATAGTTAATCTGAACTCATCATTCTACTGTAGCTAGTGCCCCCAGGTTGGTGTAAATCACATTTATATTTACATATATATCCAAAAAAAGACATAGGGCACCTCTCCCGTCAAGTTAATCGTCAAAACTAGACACCCTCTATTGACCGTCGCCGCAAACTAGCAGCCTCAGGTCGGTGACAAAGCCACAACACCATCTTTGGTAAACTGAGAAGTGGCCACCTAGAAACCATTGTTTCTGGTTAATGGCCCTCGTCAGCCTAGGGCGGACTTTATTCCATGAGATATCCGCGCAGGATCCAATGGAATCTTCACAATTTGCCAAAGGGGTGTTTAGCTGGCAAAGTGGCTGGGCCAAATCTATGGCCAAATTATATATGGAAAATTTGCCGTCTTCCTCCAGGCAATTTTTTTTTAGCTAGCTCGTTACTACTTCTCCTCTTTTTTCAACCGGGCTTGGGATCGGCAAAGCATATCTATCCGTTAGCCTATATTTTATCAAGTATTTTGGTCGTTTGGATGCATATCAAGCTTTTTTTTTTTTCAGAATTTCTGTTTTTTTTTCTTAAATATAAAATAAATGTTTGTTTTTGTTCAGAAAAAAAAATATATAGCTGTACATCAACCAATGATTTATGTACTCCCGACGTTTCAGTGACTTCCTGTCATTCTCCTCAGTGGAATGGTTGAATCCTAGTTCTACTTATATACATACACGGTTATATAAAATAGATGTAAAGTGTCACGTATTTGCACATATACAGTAGAACCTCCATGAGAGAACACTCATGCCTGAGGACATCTCTCTACAAAGGACAGTTTTCATTTGCGAAATTGTCATTTTTACTCTTCAGCAACTCTCTGGTAAGAGGACACCTCTCCCTAAAGGACACTTTGGCCATGCAATTAGGTGTTGTCCTTTACAGGGAGGTTCTACTGTATATAGCAACTCTCTGGTAAGAGGACACCTCTCCCTAAAGGACACTTTGGCCATGCAATTAGGTGTTGTCCTTTACAGGGAGGTTCTACTGTATATAGCAACTCTCTGGTAAGAGGACACCTCTCCCTAAAGGACACTTTGGCCATGCAATTAGGTGTTGTCCTTTACAGGGAGGTTCTACTGCATATAGAAATAAAAATGAGTTTTTTTTTGTGTTATAGGAGTCTAAAATGATCGTAATTAAAGGCCATAGGTGTTATTCAACAAGTTATTTCGTTTCTGTTTTGTATTGGAACATTGCGGAGGAGGTTTTGCAATAATGCTTACGACAGATAAGCAAATTTTTGGAATTTGTTTCCTGTTCGAAAACTTCCCTCAATTCTCTTTTAGAAGTTCGTTTTTCTCCTTCACTAGAAACATGATAGTGATACAGTAGGACCTCCCTTTAGCCGACACCCCGTTAGCGGACACCTCTCTACAAAGGACAGTTTTCATTTGCAAAATTACCATTTTTACTATTTAGTAACTCTCCGGTAAGAGGAAACCTCTCCCTAAAGGACACTTTGGCTCTGAAATTAGGTGTCCTTTACAGGGAGGTAGTTCTACTGTAGCAACTCTCCGGTAAGAGGACACCTCTCCCTAAAGGAAACTTTGTCTCTGTAATTAGGTGTTGTCCTTTACAGGGAGGTTCTACTGTAGCAAATCTTTGGTAAGAGGACACCTCTCTCTAAAGGACAATTTAGCTCTGCAATTAGGTTTTCTTTACAGGGAGGTAGTTCTACTGTAGCAACTCTCTGGTAAGAGGACACCTCTCCCTAAAGAATACATTGTCTTTGCAATTAGGTGTCCCTTACAGGGAGGTACTGTACTGAAGGGAACAACTAATCAAATTCTGTCTCTGGTAGTGGGTAGCACCCGTTTTAACCCGCTTACCCGGGTTGTAATCCTCCGAAAGGATTAAAGAACAATACCATGAAAAGAAGTTCATTAGTGCTAAATAACAGCGCTGGGCACCACTAGAGATACTTTAAGACCTCAGTCCTCCCTCCATACATCCCTCCAACTGCGTTACATCATTTTCTGAATGTGCAGAAAGAGAGATGTCCTCTGTATTCCCTGATATTGATGAGTTAGAAAAAGAGGTTTATCGAGTGATGGGATATTTTCTAAGCAATGTTTGCCCATGTGTGAGATCCAGCGGCCTCTTAGAGAGCAAGCCAAAATAGATCTTCAGATAAGGTTATTTTGGCGAGAGGGCCCTTGGGATCTCATTCCCTTGACAGGACCTTGGGTATCTCTCAACCCCCAAGTTGCCTGTAGTGACGACAGCCTGCCTCTGTGACGTCCAAACATCTCGATCTAAATAAGGTACTGTAAGTTGTAGTTGAACAGATCGTTTTTTTTCTTTGGTAGCATCAACAGATTGGTACGCTGCGGGACTAAGTGAGAGAGAGACAATTGACACAGTTTTATTGACATCTTGTCAATACATGTCACAGTCCGCCGCACTATTTATGTGATAATGACAAATTTACAATGAGGATGATAGTTATAACAAAATCGATTAAAATATACAACGATGTACATGGTGTCACCGCTGCAGAGTTTGATGGAAGATCGCCAATGGGTCTCCAGCGACACCAAGCATTCCGCGATCTACGAAGAAAACGTAGATGGCATGCTTTACCGCTGAGGAGATGGCATAATCCTCGCGAGAGCGAGAGAATATGTTTTTACGGGCTACTAACCAATGTGTATGATTTTTGAGCCAAGAAAAGGTACAGTCCAGTGTTCGCAAGTGGTCACCCTCCCAAGTACTGACCGGGCCTGAAATTGCTTAATTTCGGTGATCGGACGAGAATCGGTGTTTTCAATGTGGTAATGACGACAGCCTCCATCTCTTTGACGTCCGAGTAGATAAATCCTTTTATACGCGATCGAACTGTACGTATTACATCCCAAACACTGTCATGCCATCTCTGTCTATAGCTCGATGTACCATCTCAGCGACCGTTAAGCCAGTGAGTTCCTTTAATTGGTCATCATTTTATTCGCGATCAAACGTTGTGGCCCACTGTACGTATTACATCCCAAACACGACACCAGCCATCTCTGTCTTGAGCTCGGTGTACCATCTCGGCGACCGTTAAACCAGTGAGTTCCTTTAATTGGTCATCATTTTATTCGCGATCGAACGTTGTGGCCCACTGTACGTATTACATCCCAAACACTGTCTTGCCATCTCTGTCTTGAGCTCCATGTACCATCTCGGCGACCGTTAAACCAGTGAGTTCCTTTAATTGGTCATCATTTTATTCGCGATCGAACGTTGTGGCCCACTGTACGTATTACATCCCAAACACGACGCCAGCCATCTCTGTCTTGAGCTCCATGTACCATCTCGGCGACCGTTAAACCAGTGAGTTTCTTTAATTGGTCATCATTTTATTCGCGATCGAACGTTGTGGCCCACTGTACGTATTACATCCCAAACACGACGCCAGCCATCTCTGTCTTGAGCTCCATGTACCATCTCGGCGACCGTTAAACCAGTGAGTTTCTTTAATTGGTCATCATTTTATTCGCGATCGAACGTTATGGCCCACTGTACGTATTACATCCCAAACACGACGCCAGCCATCTCTGTCTTGAGCTCCATGTACCATCTCGGCGACTGTTAAACCAGTGAGTTTCTTTAATTGGTCATCATTTTATTCGCGATCGAACGTTATGGCCCACTGTACGTATTACATCCCAAACACGACACCAGCCATCTCTGTCTTGAGCTCGATGTACCATCTCGGCGACTGTTAAACCAGTGAGTTTCTTTAATTGGTCATCATTTTATTGCGCGATCGAACGTTGTGGCCCACTGTACGTATTACATCCCAAACACGACACCAGCCATCTCTGTCTTGAGCTCCATGTACCATCTCGGCGACTGTTAAACCAGTGAGTTTCTTTAATTGGTCATCATTTTATTGCGCGATCGAACGTTGTGGCCCACTGTACGTATTACATCCCAAACACGACGCCAGCCATCTCTGTCTTGAGCTCCATGTACCATCTCGGCGACTGTTAAACCAGTGAGTTTCTTTAATTGGTCATCATTTTATTGCGCGATCGAACGTTGTGGCCCACTGTACGTATTACATCCCAAACACGACACCAGCCATCTCTGTCTTGAGCTCCATGTACCATCTCGGCGACCGTTAAACCAGTGAGTTTCTTTAATTGGTCATCATTTTATTGCGCGATCGAACGTTGTGGCCCACTGTACGTATTACATCCCAAACACGACACCAGCCATCTCTGTCTTGAGCTCCATGTACCATCTCGGCGACCGTTAAGCCAGTGAGTTTCTTTAATTGGTCATCATTTTATTGCGCGATCGAACGTTGTGGCCCACTGTACGTATTACATCCCAAACACGACACCAGCCATCTCTGTCTTGAGCTCGATGTACCATCTCGGCGACCGTTAAACCAGTGAGTTCCTTTAATTGGTCATCATTTTATTCGCGATCGAACGTTGTGGCCCACTGTACGTATTACATCCCAAACACGACACCAGCCATCTCTGTCTTGAGCTCAATGTACCATCTCGGCGACCGTTAAACCAGTGAGTTCCTTTAATTGGTCCACGAAGCGGCGGGCGTCCAGGTATGTGTCGCCCAGGCATCTTTACTGTTAGTATGGTGTATTCCATTCCCCTGCGTCGCGCGATATGACCGAAGATGTCAAAGCACCTCAATCTAGATAAGGAACTGTAGGTTGTAGTTGAATGGTTTGGTAGCGTAGATCGGTATGTGTATACGTGGCAGGATAAGTATTGCCGTCACGTTGATTTGATTTATGACCCGGTAGTAGGATGGAAATTCTTCCCGATTTGGGAAGTGTGTTAAAGCTGGCTGAGTTAGCCACCAAAGTAGGCCGCTAGTGGGAGGATGGGTGGGCCGCCGTCAATGGCGGGCCCCTTCCTGATTTCTTTTTTATCCTGACCTGACTTCAAAAGGTCACTGAAGTTGCTCGGTGTTTGGCAGAAAAATAAAATGTATGTTATAATTCATTTATCGACAAAAATAAACTCTTCGAGTTAAAACAGAAAAATAAAACGGAGATTGAAGAGGAGTATCTTATGTGAATTTTATTAGCAAGCTTTCGGGGACGTCCTTCTACATACTTTTTCGATAACTAAACAAAAGACGAGATGAGTTTTTTGTTTAGTTATCGAAAAAGCCTATAGAAGGACCATGCGTCCGAAAGCTTGCTAATAAAATTCGCACAAGATAATCCTCTTCAATCTCCGTTTTATTTTTATATAAATCATATATATTACAACTTTTAATTGTACTAATACAGTAGAACTTCCATGAGAGGATACTCGCACTAGAGGACACCTCTCTACAAAGGACAGTTTCCATTTGCAAAATTATCATTTTTACTATTTAGTAACTCTCCTGTTAGAGGACACCTCTCTCTAAAGGACATTTGGCTTTGCAATTAAGTGTCCTTTACAGAGAGGTTCTACTGTAGCAACTCTCTGGTAAGAGGACACCTCTCCCTAAAGAACACTTTGGCTCTGTAATTAAGTGTTCTTTACAGGGAGGTTCTACTGTATATCCATTCTGATGATTTTTTTTTGGCGTTTTGTATCTTCGTCTAACGACTTGAATAATACGAATGTTTTGAACGGATTAAAAGATTTTAAATAAAGTATTTTTCCCATCGAAATCATTTGTGGTTTTTTATCCTTAATTCTTCGCCGTGTATTTCCCCAATTCTAATTATTTTTAAAGCAATAACAACTGAGGTCAAACATTGCAATCGGTTGTTGAGATCGATGATTCTTCGACCATTTCCCTCGGACATTTCGTGGCCCCGTTTCATTAGGCAGAAGAGGTAAAAATTTGACGAGACCTTTAACTTCTAACAACAAGTATACGCAAAAAAAAAAAAAAAACTTTACGAGGATACACTTTTGAAATAATTTTTGAAGTAGGTGTAAATGAAAAGTACTAGCCCAACGTTATGACATTGAATTCGTTTTCTTAAAATATAGACACATGCCGTCTCAGCCATCGCTGAAGAGCTTAATGGAAGATCGCCGACTCAAGGGATACCACGTATTTCGTGATCTACGAAGAAAACGTAGATCACATGCTTCACAACTGAAGAGATGGTGATGGCATGGTCCTCGAGACCCACCGCGAAGATCCAGGACTGCAGATCCGGCGAATGCCCGTGAGAGATTGGAACTTCTTTATTACATCGTACATAATCTTACATTGATTTATCAAGAAATTGGGTTTGCCAAATATCTTTGGAACAAGCTAAATCAACGTTTAGTTCATTTTATTTCCACTAGATGGCGCTCTGCCATCTAAAATGCTCATGTGAGAGGTCAGGAAATGCCAATTCTGTTTTTAATATAAGATTATATAGGGTAAATAAGAGAGAAAAAAAAAAGAGTAAAATTAAATATTATATTTTCATCAGACGAATCCCACTGATGGTCTATGTCGGGTATGTTGTAACCCTGGACAGACGTAGATACCCCCGACTATTGCCAGGGATTGCTTCAGAGCAGACCTCTTCCCGGATGACAGAAAGATGTTCTCCCTGTTAGAAGGGGAGACAATCTCCTCCCTATAATAGTGTATATATATATAGACAGTATTCAAGCTCTCGAACAGCTCCTCTACCTCTAGAGAGAGATTGAAATTGATTTATTACAATGTCCATATAAGATTATATAAGGTTAATAGAAGAAACAATGGTTGCCTGTAAAGTCGGTTTTACGGGCGAAGATTTTACGTGACAACGGTAGAATATTTATTGATATGAATATAATTAAATTGCACAATAGGAACAAGGAATTGAATGAAAATAAGAATTGCACAAATTTTAACTATAGAAATATATTTTGTTTACTAAAACATTGTACATGTAAACTTAAACTTAACTATTTCCTATTTGAGTGATTTTGTTGAGGATAGGACGATAATAGGAGAAATATGAAATGAAAGGAAGTGTTTCTGCTGTAATGTGTCTTGCGAAAGTCAAGTCGATAGTTGTTCCTTTTAACGTAGTTGACTTAGAAACGTTTGATACGCAATCAAGATTATACGTATTTTTCATGATATTAAGAAACGAGTTGTCAGGCTTTACGTTTTTGTTAAAATCACCACACAGAAGAATCGGTATACTAGAATCAACTTGCACGAACGGTGGCACGTACTGGCTGTTGTGAATGTACGGACCGAGTCCTTGCCATAGTAACATTCCAATATCCTGCATACTAGCTCCTGGATGAATATATACAGCACCGAGTATAAACTTGAAGCTAGTATTAGCGGCGAAGCAAGTAACTTCAGTCATGCACATGTCACCCTTGGTTTTAATGACACGAGTTACGTCTGTAATCGCAACTTGGAACACTTCCGCCGTAGATGTCGATGATAATTTACGATAGATCGCCACTCCACCAGCCGCGTTGGTATTTGAAAATCAAAACACTTATTCAGATCGAAGGTTCAAATTTTTGCTAAATAAATTTGAAATTAAATAAAATTTGTAATTGTAAATGATGAAGTTGAAAATTAAAACATTTACTTAAATTAGATGTTAAAATTCTTGCTCAACACAGTTTAAATAAAGTTTTCTTATATCTGCCACTTTTTCTTAATATTTGTAATTTTAAAGAATCAATTCGAAAATCAAAACATTTATTCAGATCGAAGGTTCAAATTTTTGCTAAATAAATTTGAAACTATTTAAAATTTGTAAAATAATAATTAATTAATTAATTAATTTTAAACTAATAATTTACTTAACACTATCAACATTTATCAATAGTATGACATAACCTATAAACTCAGTTTCTCAA